ACAGACAGACACCGACACACACACACACACACCCCCCACCACCCCAAGTATACTCCACTCTGCAATCTTCATTCCGGACTCTCATGATAATCATAATACCCTATAATATATTGCTTTTGAACTGCTCTCTCCCTCATCTATTTCAATGCAGTATACATAATTTTTCCCATTCTTACCCCAACCCTGATGTCAGTTTTACATAACACTAGGTATGGACTCAAAAGTTCTCACTACCTCTTTAGGGTACCAGCCATAAACTTGGGAGTTTCCTGGGGCTCTTCACTGTAACTTCTGGATTCCCGTTATATCTTTCACATTCATATGTCAATATAATGACTCTCAGAACTCAGAGAAGTGGCATTATTTATTATTATAGTTCTACTTAATAAATAAGGATACAAAATAAAGGAACATATAGAGGTATGGGAGAATTACCAATGCAGACAGCTTCCATGTCCAAAAAAATTACAAACCACCCTCTTCTAAGCACTGATTTCTTCTAATAACCAGTAAGCACAGACCTAGTCAGTGTTGAGAGATTTTATTGGATTCTCAATGGGTAGGCTGGATCATTCTCCAGTTAGATGGGCTTCTCATATGTTAACCATTTCTTAGGTTGTCTGTTTAATAGTAAACTGTTCTTTTAAAATGTAGAAATTTTGTAACTTTACTAACAAAATTGTATTGCTATACAGATTAGTATCCAACCCAAGTAGGAAAAAAAATTACCACTCCCAGACAGAGAGGCAAAGAATCTCACTTTTCCTAGATCTGAAATAAAGTGCTTTGGATATTGCAATCCATCTGCAGAAAGAACGCTTTGCGTTCAGTTACAGTACTGTCAATCATTTGCTGCTATCCACCTGAGTAGTCCCCGAAAATAAAATACAGCCAAACATAAGAACTCAAAGGAAATGAAACAAGACTTTTGAAAGCAACCCCCTCAGACTTAAGAAGCATTACTTCACAATAATAAGTCTTCAATATTTAATCTTGAAATGCTATAGTAATTACAAGCCACAAAATACAAAGTCTCGTTCAAGAAGTGAAGATACTACTGATTACTGATTGTTGTTGATTGCCTTCGAGTTGAGCACAACTCATAGAGGCCTCATGAACAAAAGGCTTGAAGACCCTCTACAACCATTGACATTTACCAAAGTTCATAGAATTTCCAGAGGCATTTTATTTAGGAAATGGCTGCCACTCCTGCTTCCAAGATTACTGATTAGCTTACTAAAATTATAACCTTTATTAGCTTTTGTCATTTTAAGAGGCCCTAAAAGGTTGAGTTTTCAAAATGTGTATTTTAAAATTAGTAAGAACACATCAGTATTTCTTCCAAAATACTCTATGATTAAAATGTTTCAAGAATTTGTAAAGCTCACTCCATCCTCTACTAGTTCCAATAACTGAAAATTCCAAAAGCAATAGAAAATATTTTCTACTCTTCAAAATCCTTAAGGAAGGAATGTTATAGTAGAACCTTCAAATTAATAGCCATTTCATTTTTCATACATGATTAAATTTTATATTTTTACCTTGAAATGTGTAAATGTGTGTTTTCGATATTCACACCATTCCACAAAAAAGTGTAGACTCTTGAAAAACATGAAAAGATCTCTTCTTTCTTCCACTCTGTAAGATTAAATGAATCTATGATTAATAAATACAATTAAATGATAGTATGTGAGGTGCAGAAAGTAATTTGGTCTTTCATTCTGGGTTTCTAAGAGTAACCAGAGGTCTGACTAAACCTGAGGAAAACTCATTCCTATATATAAGGACTGCAGAGCCCTTTACTTCCTATCCCAGAATGGCTACTGAGAGAATCTACTCACAGGAATAGCAGCTGTGTTTTTCTCCCTGTGAAACTACCTTACCACTCTTTTCCCTAGCCCCCTTCCCTATCTTGAAGGAAGGATCTGTAAGCATCCTCTTCCCCAAGTCCCTTGTAAGAAAATATAAAAATCCCCCTCTAACTCTTAGTGTGGGCTGGTCTTGTGCCAGCATGGAAGTTTCTCCTCAATAAACTGTCTTTTTTGGCCTGCACTGGGTTCTGTCCTTCCTCAGTGACCTTACACTGTGAGGCTGGAACAAACTCTTAGCTGAACCTCTGGAGGATTTTGAGAGGCTGTAAAATAGCAAGGGAGGAGACTACCTGTCTTTCTCACTCAAAACTGTTGGTGAATTTGAATCACTAAGGAAACAGGGCCTGTGGGTTAGCAGTGCAACCCCTTTCAGACCACACAGTTCTAATCTACAGGCAACTCTGGGAAAGGTGGATAGTCTCCTCCCACTTAAGATTTCCAGCCCTAGAAACACAATGGAGGGTCCCTATAAGTCAAAATCCACTTATCAGTGGTGAGTTTTGTGTTTGGTTGATCTCAAAGGGAAGGAATCAAATGGGCCTCCTAAATGCCAGTCCCTAGGAAAGATAGGAAAGGTGACTTGATGAGCCAGCAAGGCCTGACCTGAACAAGGAAGGGAAGATGAGACTTTCAGAAATATAGATGGCACATGTTATCCACCACACAGTTTGACATAGAAAGCACAGTTAGCCAAAGAGAAAATGGATATCTCATTGCCCTGTGCTGCTGTTAGTAAGTGGCATGGAGTCAAATATGACTCATATTAACTCTATGAATACATACCTGAACCCTGTCTTATCCTATATGATCTCTGACACACTAGGGCCCACTGCTGAAGTTACTATTTTCCTCTCTTCCACTGACCCTCCAGACTTGCAAGCATATTCCCTTCCCAGGAATACCCTCTTCTAGCAACATGTCCAAAGCATGAGACAGAGTTTTGTCATCTTTGCCTCGAAGGAGCACTCTAGCATAACTTTTTTCAAGACATGAACATCAAGGATATGAACATGTACGGCTAAGCACAATTGATAAAAGTGCATCTAAATTCCAAAATCAATCTCCACAATAGTTTATGTGTTTCCTATTGCCAAAGGGGCCCTTTAGAGTAGTGAGAAGATCTTCACCCTGAAACCTACAGAGTTCCTTTTCAGCAGGAAGTAGCTAAGAGAATACGCTGTCCCCTTTTCCTTATGAATCAGGGTGAGGTCTCTCTCAGGAAGGAGTGATAGGGAATGGCAAAGGACACACTGACAAAGGAGATTAATCAGAACTGGCTTTGACAAGCACTGTGACAATTGGACAATTAAAACAGACTTTCAAGGGGGGGAAAAGAAAGAGGAAGGAAATGAGGGGGGGAGGGTAGAGAAAATAGTGCAACAATGAATGAATGGAAACCCAAAATCTCTGTAAATGTTCATTAAAATTAATAAAATTTAATAAAATAAATAAGAAAAAAGACATATCTGTTTGTTCTTTTGGTAGTCCACAGGGATATTCAGTACTCTTTTCCAACAACAGAACACAAATCAATTATTCTTCTGTCAATCTTATTCATTGTCCAGCTCTCAGATATGTAGCAGGTGATTAAAAAGACCATGGTCTGAATCAGGTGCACCTCAAACTGACATCATTGTTCCATAGTAAGTTGGGAGAGATCCTGACCATGGACTGCACAATACAATACTGTTTCTTACTCTCCTAATTGTTAGGGCTGCAGAGCGGCTTTCCCTCCTTTTCCCAGAATGGCCACCAAAATGAAGCACAAGAAGCAGCAGCTGTGGCTCCGTTTGTATCTGTTAGGGCTGATTCTACTTCTGTATCTCAGGAATATCTGCAATCCCCAGTATGCCCCCTTATTTTGTAAAAAACAACTGCAAACATCACGTCCCCCAATTTCATTGTAAGACAATATAAAACCCCACTCTGAGTAAGGGCTGGTCTCTACTTCAGCATCACCATGGCAGTTTCTACTCAATAAATTGTCTTTCTTGATCTAAACTGGGTTCTGTCCTTCCTCAGCAACCTTACACTGACTGCTGGTACCAAGAGTTTGGATTGTTGATCCAAGAAAGATTAAATCATTTATAGCTTTTATTCTTTCTCCACCTAGCATGACATTATCTGTTGGTCTTGTGGTGAAGACCTTTGTTTTCTTGATGTTGAAATGTATGTAATCCATACTAAAGCAGATGTAATCCTTGATCTTCTGCATCAAGTGCTTCAAGTTCTCCTTACTTTCAGCAAGCAAACCTTGTGTTATCTGCGTAATGCAAGTTACTTGTAATTATTCCTCCAATCCTGATGCCATCCACATTCCTCTTCATAGACTCCAGATGGGGAATCTCCTCCCATGTGATTTACTATTTCTGAAAACCCACTTGAGAGTTATCTGTGGGTCAATAGTGACATGATGATACACAACAACAATTCTGGTGTAACAAAAGAGCTAGTAAGAAACAAACTGATTTTACTCTTTGCACCTTGCTTTGATGTTTGTTGCATCATCCATTATTTTCCCCATGGGATCTTTCAGTATTGAACTCAAGGTTTGAATTTGTTCTTTAGTTTTCGGAATTGGAAGAGGGATGATCCAGTGGCACAGTTCATAGGGTGTGGCACTGCTAACCCAAAGGCAGCGCCTCTCTTGTCAGTCTGAACTCACATGAAAAATGAACAATTTCCTCCTATGCTATTTACAGTCTCAGAAACCAAGTGGAGAGTTAGCGATCAGCAGGTTCAGATTTGAAGGCAATGAAAGAAAGAGAGATGCTCCCTAAGACATGTACAATAACACATATATTGTTTGTCACTATAAGCAATAGTTAGACTCACGGGAGGGACAGCTGGTGTTAGAATTCAAGGCAGATGATGCAGATACCAGGCAGCATATCTGCTCTCCCAAGGATGGATTTGGTACTTTGATTTGTTTATGGAACTTCTTTCTTCATGAGAATTTAGGGGGGACTAGGGACTGCATCCCCAATGTCTCTGGAATTAGTTTTACAGATATATAGGTGGAGGACTTAAAAAACCTGCTACAGAAGATCAGAGACTACAACCTTCAGAAGGCAAAAATACTTACCATTGTGTCAAAAGAGATTATTGCAAAAAAGATGAAACTGTCCCATGCAAAAGATGTATTGTTCAGGGGAACCTGGTCATGGATGCACCCCAAACAAGCTAGGACATTAATTAACTTTAGAAGAGGCAGTCTGCAGCCAGACAAGATTCCCGTGAAATCCCATGGGACAGAAAGGATATCAACAGATACCAGGGGTTGCCTTCTGCTTCTCCAGAGAGGGGGTGCCTCAGTCATGGGAACCTGCTTGCCTGAAGCCTTTAGGTGGACACAGGCCACAGTCTTTAGGAGAGGTGTGCTGCAACCAGGCGAGATTCCCACCAGGCCACAAGAAACTGGAAAGAGATTCTTTAGGTACTGGGAGTTGCCAAGCCCTTCCATAGAGAGGAAGTGCCCCAGCCATGCCAAAGCCCTGAGAAAACTTGCAGGACCTTAAAAAAGACAAGTTTTCTAGCTGTAAAGGCCTAGAAAGGTCTCCTCGTAGAGCTGGTTGTCCTCCATCATTAAAGGTAAAATTTAGATCTCCAACTTATCAACAGCATCATAGGGATAAAAGCCTGTTAACAAGCTACACAAACACAACAGAAAGGTCAAACATTTGCCAAGAAAATCTTTCTATAATGCGAAGAAGAACTTTAAATAATGTCAAGAAAGCAGTAGAAAGCTTGAAATACTGTGATAAAACAAGGTTTCTCCTAAAAAACAAGATTATGTTGCAGGCCCAATGAATACCCCAGAGACAGGGAGGTAAAAGAAATATACCAATATGGAGTTATATGAACAGTTTTTGGAAAAAGTTACAAAATATGGAAAAAAGAATTAAAGCCATATATAAAGCAAATATCCCAGAGGCAAGTAACCAGAAGAAATATATTGTAGAGTTATATAAACAACTAAGGAAGAAATTGCAAATTATGGAAGAAAGAACATAACACGTAAATAAGAAGTACAAGAACTAAAGAAAATGATCACAAGACATATAGGGTACAAACAGCACAGTACTGGAAATAATAGACATGTGAATGTAAAGATTAAAATGGCAGGATTTTACAACATGCTAGAGGGACAAAAATGCAGAACAGAGGAGATGGGGTAGAGAGTCAGTGAGCTAGAACACAAGAACCTCAATGGGAATGTACCAGAATTCTAAAACAAGGGACAAGATGGAAGGAAAATGAAGAAAATATTAGAATCATGCTGGATAACATCAACAGGAAAAACAAAGATGTGATCAGAACTTCAGGACAGGAGAGTGGCAAGAAAAGTACTGGGAATTTATAGAAGAGTTCTAGGAAAAAACCTCCCACATGACATGAAAAATGAGGAAATCCACATTTAAAAACCTCAGTGAATCCCAAACAGACTAGACCCCAAAAAGGAAAGCATCAAGATATACCATAGACAAATACTCCAAAATCAAAGATAAGGTTAGAATACTAAAAGCAGAGTAAGAAAAAGAATCACCTAAGAACAAATAGAAACCATGTGAACAAGAAGACAATGGGATGGCAAATATAGAAGGCTGAACAAAAAAAAAAAAAAAGGCTGAACAAAAACAACTGCCATCCAAGGATCCTGTACTCAGCAAAGCCGTCTATGAAGGAGAAATTAGGCCATTTGCAGAAAATCAGGAACTTAAGGAATTTATGAAAACAAGACCAACTCTACAAGAAATTCCAAGGAAA